GAATTTCGACAAGAAGACCAATAAACATCTATCTCATCACTTCTAGTTATGTATAAACTTGGATTTGACTCACACATATTATCAACCAGCATTGGTTCTTCGAAACGAGACCCACATAAATCGCGCCAACTATTGTATCATACATAATTAATTCTGAAACATTTACAATTTCATGTGTAAAGTCTTAGCCTTCTATAAGAAGCTAGTGTATCTTTTCAGACATTTATCTATCTGAACAAGGTTTTAAAGAAAATATGTTAGCAGTTTCGACATTTCTATCTTGCATGGAATGTGGCTTGCCTCATGTAACTCACTGATAATTTAGAATAAACTATTATTTTTATTACTGCTAGTGACGATAGGGCAAAACTTTTCCTCTCATCAGAACGTCACGAGTGGTGGTTTCCAGAGCTCTCTGTTATTTCTTACATATCAGTGACTAATACAACTGCTTTACTTTGGGGAAATCCTTTGTATTTTAAGAAGAACTTAAAATGATACTAGTCTAAATGTTGGCGTAACAGTACAGAAAATATGGACAAACTCAAAGATTGATAGGATGTAGAGTTTCTTTCTCTTTCCCACTACTCAAATGGAGAAAATGTCAGAGGAATCGATTCCTTAAATTTCGTTTTATCACTACTCGAAAATACTTAGTGCAACCGGAAACATTTTCGCTGGAAAACTGAAAGCACTCAGAATCTATTCTTAAAATATTCTTATAACCATAATTTTATATGTCTATTTTTCATCAGATGTCCTTTTTATCAGATCCGTCTGGCCATTTATCTCCTTAAGAAAAGTTCATTATAGTATTGTCTTCGAACACTTCTGCCTGCTAATTTTCTTTCGCTGTCTTATTTTTCTGACACCCGCAATTTATCACACGCCATTATTCAATATTCTTATGATATACTATCACCGGTCTGTGAATAATAATAAGAAGGATATTTATTCTAACTCTCCTAATCAAATGCCATCTTACTAGTTGCTTTGGCGGCACACACAATTATTTACTCACAAACATAGGATTTGTGGAAAGGTCACTGGATCCACGCGAAGTTACTTATAAGTCCGTCAAAAGTTACGCTGTTGAGTTACCCCTGTCGATGTTTCTTTTATGATCTTTCAGAGTTCAGAATCGATGTGACAACAAATTTGGCAGCAGAGAAGTCACAGGCCGCACCTAAAATGAACCTACAAATTCCCCTTTTGTAAACCGAATTCGTGCGACACAAAACCGATCAAATAAGCCACAAAGGTTACTGAAACAAGAATTCATACACTGAAAAAACTTCCGATTGTTGTCAACTCCCCAGTATCTGTTAGTAGTACGAGGAGTGTAAAAAATGGAAACTAATACTGTAGATCAAGGTCTGACCGACTGAATAAACTACAAAAGCAAATTGCTTGCAGCGTCTAGTTCACACAGAACTAGCCAAATCTGTCCGAACAAACTGTAGGGATATCCGGTTACCACGATTGCTGCAGATTTGTACCAGGTTACGACACAAACTACCAAGGCCCTCTATTGCAACGCAAGACAAATAAGGGGTAAGATGTTAGAGATCAGAAATATATTCTTTTCTACTTCCTTTCTATCCACTTGACACCCTCCACAAATCTTCTTTATTCATTACTGCACTCCTTAATTTTTGGGTTACAATCCTATAATTTAATTTGATTTTAGTGGTCAGCATAAATTTTATCTTGAGTTACCACTGTTTTGTCTGCTTCAAAGTGACTGGTTAAGAACTGCTTTTGTTGTTCATATGCGATTGCCTATTTTACGATTTTTCATTTCTCTCATTTCTCCCTTTTCACAATCCCATTCACAGTGGAAAATCCATTACGCATGTAGGCAACCTGCACTATATTCACACGCACGTCTAAGTCACAGCTTGTATTAAGCGCCTTCTAATTGACCTTTCCCAACAAATTCATTACTGATCTAAGCAAATCATCCAGGAAATCTGCTGTGCATATTCCCTATTTGTATTCACCTATGGAAAATGTGGCTGTATCGAAATGTTCCAGTTGGTAACATGGTGTAAATGTTCCATCAGAAACTGACTCTTATACTTGATTTAACTGCGATAACTTTTGCAGTAAAAGTGTTAGCATTTGTTCTAGCCTATAAACTGGCATGTTTATTATAACAATCTGCTATTTGAGAATAAATATATTATTATTAAATGGAGATCGTAATCCTTACTGAAACATTGCTATCTCCAAAAACTGCAGACGATGAAGTGATATCGCAACGCATGATACTATCTGCTGCGATAGGGTACATAAGACAGGATACGGAGTATATATACAATATATTAACAGTCATTTCAAGACCAAAGCACTACACTGCACCCAACTAACCTATTTGATGGAATAATGCATGTGTTGTTTCAACAACAATGACACAATATATTTGATTGGAGGGATTAACCGACGCCTCTCAAGTAATAAAACCCCGAGGAATTGATTGACACTGCATTTACCACTACTTGGGTTTTCATCAGCTACTCTTAGCTGCAGATTTCAACAATGGATCTCAAAATCCTAGCTAACAGGGAATTATTTAGTCATGATTCAGCAGGCGACATGGTACAGCTATTAGAAGTTTCGTACGAACTAATCCTTTACGTAGCTCCACTACATTGTCCTTGGAACTCCCAACTGCACGTGGTTCACGAGGAAAATGGCATTAGTTTGGACCGTGCGGCGACCGCATAGCATTGAATGTAGCTACTCGTCTAGATAGCTACACTATCCCCACATGCACGACACCAATCAAGCGGACGACTGTTTTTTCTACGATCTATCTGATTCGAGAATATAATCAGATCTCCGTCCCTCCTGAAGGTGTCGAGAAAAATGTGGTCACGACTCCTTTTGGTCTGTTTAACTTCCTACGAATGCCCTTTGGATAACGGAATGCTGCTGCTCTTTGTTACAAGCTACTCTCCTCACTAATCCCGGCCCATCAACCACTCTCAGCATAAAGGCGATGCATCGGATTTCATCACACGAGCTGCAATCCAACAAGACATCTCTGAAAGTTGATAAGTGAACCTTGATTTCGAAAACAGAAGAAGTTAGATACGCGCCTTGCCCAGTCCACTTTCAAGACACAAGGTTTTTGAGTAAGAAAGGTTCCATTATTAATCACAAAAGGAATACAGACCATTACCTAAACAATATTATACTGCTCCAATCCAAAATTAACACAATGAGTTTCCAATTCTGGAAGAATGCGTCCTTCCAGTCAAGTATCCGAACTTACCGCAGAGGTATCAAATCCGATATGACTGTAGCCATATTAGGTATCAATTTAAACAACACATTTACAGTTTAGAAGGAAACATATAAACTCCGATAAAAATACAGAAAATAGGAATTATAACAAAATACAAATATTAACATCCCAAATTGGGAATAAACAGACTACCAAATATTTAACTGAATGAGTCTGCAAGATCATAACACAAATATATACATGGAGGGATTTTCCCAAAAACGAAGCCTTCAAAATGGATTTTACAAAGCGTCGCATAGGAAACAACATGGAAGTCTGTGACATGGATAGTTTGGACGACCAATGGGAAACGACATTGAAGTATGTGATAGTGACAGTAAGGAAGACCATAACATTAACCAGTAGGAATTGGCCAATAGAATTAGACTTACAGAAATAGTTCATTTAAGATGCTTGATGAATATCCTTAAAGACATGAAACACTTCCAACTTTCCACATACCAACAGTCCCTAATGTAGGCATTGCATGTCAACTCTGATCGTTACTCGCTGCTCCGTAGAACGATGGATAGCACCATGTGGTTGCTAACGAGCCTGTTTGGTACGGAAAGCATGCATACTAACGTCTGTCATCCAGCATCGCGTAGTTTAGCTTACCGATCTTACCGCGAAATCAAAGAAGCTCTCGGAGCACACGAAAGCAGCAATTGATACGAAACCTAATCGTTCGGTCTGCTTGATATCAAAACCAGTTTGAAGGCAGATATTCAGTGTTCCGCTGGCGAACTCAACTCTAAAGAAGCATCAACAGGTTGCCCTCCCACGTGATTTGTTTACTCGTTCACATTTTTTCATCCAAGTGGATTCAGTTGGTCAGCCAAATAAGCAGCCTTACGGAGAATGTTTTTCCGTTATTTTTCGTCCTGAAAAGCTTTCAAGGCTGATCAAAATGGCCTTGTTGATATCTTTGTCTTTGATCGTCGCAAATCAGCACACATAGATAACAGTGCCCTAATTGGTAAGTCGACAACCAATGCTATACGCATCCAACCAACTACCTGGATCCCTATATCTCGTTCGGAACACAAGCTGGACACATCAGAGACATAATTCTCACGTCCAAGCAAACTGCTCGAGTTATCTGCGTTATCTTCTGATGAGACTTTAGTCTCCGGTTCAGATAGAAAGACCACGCCGCCCTTTACTTCGGGTGAGATTGTGGTCTTTAGATTTTAACCACGGGGTACGAGAGACTATCGTCTAACGCTCAGGTAGCCAGGTACATTTACACGCTTCCGCGACACTCCTCTCAACAAGCAAATTTTAAAGTGTAGTACTCTATCGCTTACTACATGGTTGTTACACAATTATATTTTTTTTATTATAGTTTCTTTTACTTTGAGCTTACACCGACCATTTCCGTCCTGGTACTGTCTACTTCACTTAACGTTGGCTATACCTCCGTCAATGTACTTGGGTGATATTCTGATTCCGAATACATATACGTTGCTGATACAAGCGCACTCAGTGAGATCAGGGGAGATCCAAATTCATAAATCATTGCCAACTGGTTCTATCGAGTTTCTGAACTACCATCCATAAGGCACCAACAAGTTCCTGGAACCATGTCGAGAAAAACAAGAAAAATCACCTATAAGATATCAGCCGGTTCATACTAACTCGCGATAAAGAAATATTTATAAAAGTAAGGTTCATATTTGTTTGGTTGCGTCTTTTAACCTAGCAGTTTCGGGTCACAAAAACTGCGCTGAGTTTGCAGATCTTTTTTATGTTGATCCACATGTCAGTATAATGATAGTGTAGTTGGTTGATGATCCGTAAAATTGTCAAGTTTAGGCGTGTTAACAGAGCAAGAGAAAGAATAGTTTCCCTTGTTAGTGACTCGATCACTGTCCAAGCAATGGTTCTAGATAGTGTATCTGCCGAAGTTGATTTATTAACCTATGAAGCTTTGAAAAATGATGGGTGTTCAGATTCAGCCCAAAAAGCCTTGCTTTTGCTTTTAAACTGCTTCTTGAACAAACCTAATTGCACTCATTCTCATATCAACGATTTGCATGCGGAATGTACTGAACCTTTGTCTAAGCTGCAGTCAAACGTGTCTAAGAATGGGTTAGAACAGTATCAGGAGTTTTCGGTGTTCTCAAGGAATCTATCTTTGATTGAAATAATCAGCGCACTTGTATACACCTTGTCGGCAGACGACATCATTGCTTTGGATAGAGCATTAAAGTTCGGTCGTGAAGATTACTATAGTCTCATGAAAAATCCCTCCAGTCTTCCTAAATTTATAAATTTTCAAAGTGATGTGTTGGACCTTTCTAGTTGTGTACATAGTAGTAGCCAACGAAACAAATCAACGGATAAATGCAACAAATACTTCGATATTCTTGATTTTCATCAATTTCATCCATGTTCAAGGTACATAGTCGACCTAACATGTTCACTGTGTGGCATTTCCCGGTCGAAACGGATTAAGCATAGCTCTTCACTTTCAAACAATGATCTTTTGAAGGCCCCTGTATGTTGTGTCGACCTTTTGCTTGCTGTCTGCAAAGCGTGGAGATGGAAGGATTTAAGCCCTGGCGATTACCTCAGGTATCTTCCCTCTTTTATTATATTTCTTCCTGAGTTATACATTTTTAGTTAGTTCGGTACTACAGGTTATGGTACAATTAGGTTTTTATGCCAGAGCAAACCACTGTACTAAGTTTTCTACGACAGAGTTGTATTTTGATATTCAAATCACTTAACTTCCTTTTATTAAGTTGCAAATCAAAGATTCATTCTACGTATCAATGTTTTGACACTCAAGTAGTATTAGAAGTTTGTAAATACTTGGAACCGCCTTATGATCTTTTACTTTTTCAAGGTATTTTTTACTTTAAATCGGGTTTTCATTGCATTACTTTGATATTATATAATGTGTGTTCGTTATTATTTTGTTTTCACTCACTAAATGTGCTTAGATAACAAGACGCTTTGGTTATAGAGTTCACCCGTGAATTTTCATCCCCATATACGAATACCTTGTCCCTAGAGACGAGGTGCAATTATTGATTCAGGTGAAATTTCTGTGTTCATAACAATCGCTTTGTACCTTATTACCCCCAGAAAAGCATGCTACACAATGTAGTGCAATGCTTTGTTAGAAAGCGAAATCAGGAAAGTAATACTGAAATGTTACAAGAGGGAGAGTTACAGATAGAAAGTTCAAGTAAAAGCAGTAGATTATATTCAGCCTATTGTTACACTTTACTGCGCTTAAACAAAATGAAAGAGCTTTAAAATGAAAGCTTAGTGAGTTCTCTTTGGGAACTATCTGTTATGCCATTCAAATAGAATAGGAATAATAATAAAGACGAGCTCTTATATAAGGCAAAACCAAGATCAAAATAAGAACAAATACTAAACGCGAAGAAACAAATTTTTAATAATGATATAAGTTGAGGTCGAATGAATTAGTTTAAAACGGAATTATCATAGTTTTAGTCTGCTGAACACGCATGTCACATAGCTCGTTGTCTTTGTTCGGTTTGAGTCACTATTTTATTTTAGCCATTTTACCCTAATAAAAGTATTTTATAGCCTTACTTAGTATATTATGAGAGATTGTCTTATTACTACCCATAGTATCCTCCAGTTGAGTCTTTTGATTTATTTTCGAAGTTTTTTTCCCCCTCTTAAAAAATAAGATCTTTCAGTAGTAGTTGGTGAGTAGCAGACATCATGCACCAATCAAACAACATTTCTGTTGTTATTCCAAAGCAAATTATTTCAAAAATCTTTAATTCTGGTATATTTCTACCTAACTAACGCCTGTGGTCATTTGAAATATTAAGTTATAAGTATCCAACTGCCGTAAGGTAATTTGGATATCTAGGTTTTGGGTGCCTTACTAAGAGTTTCCAATTTTGCTGTCTATCATTTCAACAACCAAAGCACTTTTATTGGCTTTTGCAAATCAGATGAAACTAATTCATTTTATGACATAAAGTTGAGTGTGTGGATAAATAGGAGTTAGGTCATTTGCATATAGAGTTCAAAAAGTATAAGGAAGGAGTGAGACAGTAACTAGATGAAGTTCGGATATAGACAAGATGGATCGTGTGATAATAATAAAAGTTATGAAGAGTTTGATGATGTTTTATATCACTTAAAAATAAATATCAAATGAGGTGGTAGTTATTTAGCACAAGTAATTAACATCACCATAAATACTATTTCCATACTCTAACGTTTATTCACTAGATTCTGAAGTTGTATTATAGACATATATTCAAAAAATGTTTTACTGAAACAATTGCCACCTTATTAATCGTCCTATTTACATGTAGTCACAACTATTCGAATAAGTACATCGAAATTGCAATGGATGTTTCGGATAGATTGAGTGTGATGATTCATCTAGCTCAACTAATCTTAAGTCATAATCATATCACATCTAACTGTAATTTGGTATTGGAAATATTCAGTTCAGAGATTCTATTTGTTTATAAATAAGTTTTATGCTGATGAATAATAGGTTTTATGTTTTTGTTGTTAAAACTATACCTTCATTCTTAGTTGATCTTTCCGTACACATAAGTTTACTGATGTAAGAAAATAAATCAAAGTAAATAAATTGTTAGTGATGTAAACTTTTTTTAATTGAGTAAATGGAAGCATCAGTTTCTAATACCGAATTGTATATTTAGAAAATGAAATTAAAATTATATCTGAGATGTTTGTTAACATAGTAAGCAATATTTTGTATAATTACATAGTACTCGTGTGTGTTCACATGCAAGTTGTTATATCTTAATAGTTGTCATCGGTATAGTACACTAAACAAACTCATAAATATTTAAGTAATTTCTCACTGGCAATTAGATTTTCATAGATGGATAATGGTGTTACCAAGAGAACAATTAGCAAACAACTCATAATGACGACTTGAACACATCCGAGCCCTCAAGTATAAGTTCACTTATTATATTTTGTGTAAGTGTTGTTAGTGCCACCTTCCACCTATTCTCAAATGCTGTTGATCTTTTTGATGTCTGCCTTCAGCTTCTGGCATCATATGTTCCCTGGCTATTTGTTTTTCTTTTCTTCTCGAGAACTCTATGTTAGGGTTTACTTAATTGTCAAGTTTGATGATTTTTGCAATGTGTCCTATCCACTTCCAGCGTATTTTCTTAATTTCCTTTTCATCTGAAAGCTGCTACAGTAAATAAACTTGACTAAGAAAACATACCTTCTAGATGCTTATTGTTTACAAAGAAAATCTAACCTCATCTTCATTCATTGAATATTTTCATCATATTAAAATGATTAGGAGCTTACCCAAAGTATTCAGTATATATTTGACTTTTACACATTGCTTTCTAATAATAATAATGTTTCATTGCAACGATCAAGGAGATCAATTTAATACTGTCCGCTTCAGCTGTAACCCAATAGTTTAAACTCAACATCTAGTTGTTCGGCTTAAAGTTTTGATTCAATGAAACATGTCATATCGATACCTCATATATGTTGATTCTAAACCATACAATCTTTATCAGTTAAACATGATCAAGTCTTAGATCCTCTTCATGTATGTATAATACGCACTACTTTTAAGTGAAAATTCATGTCCCCGATTATGACTGGTTTTGTTAGAATAGCGTTTTAAAAGAAATAAAGCTATTTAAAAACCAAATTACAAAGTATACAAATTATAATAATCTTATTTTCAAACTTGCTCCAGTAGAATAAAAACGGGATGACTTATTTTATCATTGCAGTGATACATATTATATTTCATAAGACTTTAATGATGTGGTTCTATGCACTTCATGCATTAATGAAGTGTTGAAAATATTCACTTCCTTGAATTTCGTCTTATTCATACTGATACATACGCAAATGCGTATGTTTTTGCGAATAAAATAATAAAACATCGATTATTCCGTTTTTGTATGAAATGAAAAATATCTTCGTTCATCAATAAACTGTTCTTCAATTAATATGTAGACATTTTGCATATTTTTTTGAAAATATGCTGATGGACGAACACTTATTGCTTAATTACATCCATGTGTGTTGAAGAGACATGAGAAAAAATTTCCTCGATTAAAAATGTTTAATTGATTTAGTGAGTTTCTGTTTTGATAGATGAAAAAAAATATGGTTAGCCTAATCACAAAGCAGTTATTCTTTATAGCTTACGACAATTAAATGTAAAAAAATATGGTTTAGTTATTATACACTACTTTCTTGATTTTATGTGTTCCTAGGTGAGTAATAGAATTTCAACAGCTTAATTGCAAATTCAAAATCTCACATCTTCAGTTTGGGAAACTGGTCGGAATTAGTTTTCCCTATGAAGTGAAGTTTATATCAAAGCCGAATCAACAAAGCTTTGCTTTGTTGATAGATTTAAATTAGCTACCAGTTAGATGAAATAGTATTTTTACGATTAAGTTTTCAGTTACTACTCAAGTATTCTAACAAGTTATTACAATAGTAGTATTATTTATCTCGCTTTAGCTGTTGTCGTCAGTTTTTTATTAACATTAAGTGTAGATAATTCGACTAGTTTATGTTTTTATTACCCACATACAGTTATCGAATTCATACATATATCCATAAGCGTTTATATATATATATATATATATATATATATATATATATATATATATAATTTTACATGGTTGAAAAGATTACTATGGTGCATAGAATGATTATTATTTTATCAGAAGAAATATTTTTACTTAAAGTACATATTTCTTGATAATGATTTCATTTAAAATACAAAACTAATCACTATCATTTCGATAACTCCTTAGTTTATATACAACGTATAAGTGTGCTCAAAAATTACCAAAATGATTAGAATTGATGACGACTCGGTTTGTTGTGGTTTGGCTCCAATTTGTTGGCGGCATATGCAGATCCGTATGCCGCCAATTTAGACTGACCACGTATTGTGTTGCCCACCCACTACTCATTCATAGAATTATATACATAAATATTAGCATAGATAAGTTTTTTTTTTTATCATCATTTACAATTTGCTTGATATCAAATGAAAAAAGTAGAAGTAAAATACATTTCTCTATAACAAATAATTACTTTGGATAGAGTGCAATATAGAAACGAAATCTTATGCCTACTGTATTAGTCTAAAATTGAACTTTAATTTTTTAGAATTTATTATTTAAATGACTATATATATATATAGTATAAGTATTGGCGCCTTTAAAAGACCTTAATGTATTCTAATCCGAAAACTGACTGACTGACTGACTTTCTTTCCACTACATATATAAGATTGTGTCTACTTTGAGGTTGTCTATATACATATATATATATATATATATATATATATATATATATATATATTTGTGTGTGTGTGTGTTGTACCCATGTTATATGCTTTTTGTATGTGTGAATAAAATCACATCTTTCACTTTATTGTAAAAGTTGCCAGTTATTCACCAATGAAACAAGTTGGGATACAGCATCAAATATAATAATAAATATTAAAAAAAAACAATCAAACCCTTAGGAGTTTACATTATTATGACCAAGTTTTTTTTTTTAATTAATGTTTCTTCATATACAACTAGTGGCAAAAAATTCTCTTCATTCCTTTCTCTTCTTTCTGTTTTTTTCTTTTTTTTCTGTTTGTTTTCTATCTGTAATGGCGTCTGATTGGAGTTCTTCTTTTTTTCTCTCTCTCTTATCATTTAATTTATCTATTCTGTATTTATCATTATGTTGCCATAATTATGAATATACAAATATATATATATATATATATATATATATATATATATATATATATATATATATATATATATATATATATATATACGTATATATATTTATATTAAGTTCGTTCAATTCAGTTAGTTTATGCATAATCATGATATGAAATGACTGTATATCTAATTGAGTGTGATTAAGTTAATTTTTTGATGTGCAAAATCAAACCGTTCTTTTTTTTAATTTCTATCTAGATAACTAGACTAGTCTATAGAAGATTTGTTAATGTTTCTCTTAATCGAAGAATTATCTTCTTTTTTTCTATACCGTCACAATGCTCACTAGATCATCAACACTGTAATCTGTTCAATTGAACAATTGTAACATTTTTTAAGCATAGGTGTCGTATTCATATCATCGCTTCCTTATGATGAGATCACTGTGTGAGGTAAAGCAAATCTGTTTTCTTTTCTTAAAGCATTAGATTATACAATAATGCAACTAAACGAGTTGAATCGATGTTCAAAGCCAAAACATTATGTTGATAAGTTTTACGAACCCTTAAACTACCACTTTGCTTTGATATGAGTGTATGTTCTATGTTAAGCAAATATTGCATCACTTTATATTTTTAAGTTTATCTCAGTAGATTCTACTTCTTGAATACTATCTTCGAACCCTAATCTCTGCGATTACTGCTAATACTTCTACTACTATGGGATTTGAAGTGACAACTGCAACTCTGCTAATATGATATGGCAACTTGAACTGATGTACGTATGTATGTACAAAGTTCTACACTGCTGTTGATTGACTGACTGATTGATTGATTTACTGTGTTCAAATATACACTGTTACTTTTTAAATGACCATTACATAATATCAACGTTCTTATGTCCATTCTCGATGTGAATACATCATTATGAATGAAATGTTTATTTGTTGTTGTTTTTTAAACTTTCCTATAACAAATCACAAGAAAATAAACTGATTCACTAACTTTGTAAACACAGGTTCGTATAATTAATTAAATGAGAACAATTGGTTATGTATAATATATGAGTTTATCTGAATTATCATTACTGTTCAAGCATACCATTAATACCTCTACTATCTCTATCACTTGGGATTTGATTTCACATTTGCGTGTCTGTGCTAATGTGGATTGGGAACATGAACTTATGTACATACGTACGAAGTTCTACGTTGCAACTGACTGGCTGACTGACTGACTATTGTTCAAGCAACCCAGCCAATTCGGTCACTATCTACTTAGCTCCATATTTTTAATTCATTAATGTCAATCGGTTATTTTTGCACTGCACTGAAATTTTACGATTTATTATTTTAGTACAAATTGAAATGTTCACTTCTTAACCAGTGTAAAAATTCATTTGAATTCAAAAGCATGCATTTCAAGTTGTCCAATGATTCAAATGCCAATTGAGTAATTGTAAAGTTACTATTTTGTTGTTGTTGTTTCATTTTCCTTTATTTTGTCTGAAATAAATTTCAACTTTATTTTATTTTATTTTTTTTTCATTCCATCCAGACGAATTGGACCTTGTCAATTTTCAGAAAAGCAAACAAACTCAAAAATTTGTTTAAATCCTTATCATTGGAGTCGAGTACTACATGTTCAAGATAAAATTCATGAAAATGTTCATTGTTCAAATTATTCTTCAGATCCAGGTAAAATTGATCGTCATGTCATGTTATACTTTTCAAAATATATCATACCAAACAAATATACAGTTCAAATATATTATAAGCGTTTATGATAAGTGTACTTATTTCCTATATATAATCTTAATGTTCAAGAGTTTCTTTCAGTAGTTGTTAGATGAAAAAAAAACACATTTATCGGAAATAAGTACAATTAGCATAAGTGCTCAATAGTTGTTGTAAAAAGCATTTCTACCAACTGCTTACATCATATATATATATATATATATATATATATATATATATATATATATATATATATATATATATATATATATATATATATATATATATATATATATATATATATAAAAGAAAACTATTTTGAAATGACACTTTTTTTTCCTAGTGTATTGAAATGTAGCTAGACATTTATAAAATGACCATTAATTCCTGGTACAAATAAAGATATGTAACAGCGCTTGAATAATATATTGAGAAAAATTTCTACATAATATGTATATATATATATATATATATATATATATATAGCATATAGCATGAAACATTTGTTTACATTGAATGTTGATAATTTGTATGATTATTATTACTTAATACTTACTATATTTTATTTCAATACAGTAAGACAGACAGATACAACACAGAACTTCGTGCGTATGTGCATCAGTTCAAGTTGTCATATCACATCAGTACAGAGACGCAACTGTCAGTTCAGATTCAATAGTGCCAGCGATAGTAGAAGTATTAGCAGTAATGAAGAAGATTAAGGTATATATATAATTCAGTGAGATAAATTTAGAAAGTGATAGATAGAGATGATGAGGAATTCAAAAGGTTAGAATTTGAGAGAACACAAAGAGTGAATTCATCTGTGCCATTGCAAACAATTTTGAGCCATGTCATTCAATTCCAAAACAGTAGTATAATAATCAACTGTGTGTTTATTTGAAAATTAATGAGAGTTTTTTTTAACTTGCTACTTCATTTCTAAAATCAACTTATTTCTCTTTGTTTTACAAAAAAAGCGTTTCACATTCAACTGAATTTTTTGTTCTAATTTTATTGTTATCGATAACATAAACTGCTGCTTAGTTACAGTTAAGAAGTATCAGGAAATATCTTTGACAACTAATATAAAATATTAATGAATTTTAATAATAATAATAATAAGATTAAGTTATTTTGTTAATTTCATCATTAGGAACTTTTAACTGATCAACTAAAGATGCATTGATCTACTTGGTTTCTAAATTATACGCTTAAAATTTAAAAACTAATAGATCACACTATTCAATAAATCAACCAAACTTAGTGAAGTGAAATTTGGTTCATTATTCAATTGATCTAATCATTGAAAATTGAGTTTATCGACTAATTCAACTGTCATTGATCGAGTCTTTCTAATCTAATTTAAACAATTATTTATCATATTTTGGGGCAGAGTTTTGGAGGTTTTATGTTTTTGCACGTTTGAAATCATCAATCAATCATTGTTATACCACCAGTAGAAACCTGTAAGCACTGGACGGCCGTTTCGCCTCGGACTTATCAGCAGTGCGCATCCACGACTCCTGCTCCTCGCAGGATTCGAACCCGGGACCTTTGCTATTGTGCGCGAACGCCTAACCATCGGACCACTAGGCCGTCATCCAACGGTGTTAATGTCTAATTCAATCGATTCAATAAAACTTTATCAAAGTAATGAAAAATAATGAACTTACCTTAATGTATTGAATATCCCATTCTTTTTTCTTCTTTCACTAATTTATATGTCCTATTTCATGTGGATCATTGAAAGTTAAATCATTGTTTTAATTTGATTGGTTTTAATGTTTCAATTTCATTCAATGTTACACTAACAGTGAAATCTTAAACCTTGAACTGTTGCACAACTGTTAGATTATTCTTTGCATTCTTTCATTTTTTAATTAAAATGTTTGCTCTTGATAATATTAGTCATAGTTAATTTATTATATTGAGAGTTTACTATTCAAATGTCCTTCATTTTTATACATGTTTTCAAAATCTATTCTCTAACAGAATGAAACACCATCGTATCAATGTAAATATTCTGTTCAGATTTAAAAGAAACACCAATGAATTGAACTAATGAATTCTCATACTAATTTAGGCTTTTGTTTTTCTATGGCACAAATCAATTATATCAGTATCTCATGATAAAAAATTTGAGGATTGAACAATTGAACAATACACAGAATATAGATAGATAATCTTGATTTTGTTTATTTCACTATGTCTTTTTCATTACGGCGTTGTGAAGATTGTTAAGGTACATACCTGAAATCATAAATCGATCAAAATTAGACTACCATTAGAAACCTGTAAGTTGTGGACGGCCATTTCATCCTGCCTGATATGGGACTCACCAGCAGTGCACACCCACGACTCCTGCACGTCGCCGGGTTCGAACCCGGGACCTTCGATCTTGCGTGCGAACGCCTAACCTCTGAACCACTGAGCTGGTATCTAACGGTTTTAATGTCTAACTTAGATCAATTCACGGAGTTGCGCGACCGCATACACTGTCTTTGGTAATTACTATCTACACCCGAACAGGTTGAACTTCACTAGAACTCGGAGATTCCTCACGGAGCTAGTCACTAGTGAGCACAGGTGATTGCATTATGGGGTTGTGAAGGTTGTTAAGTTACACTTTTGAAATCATGAGTCTCATACCAGGACGAAACGGTCGTCCAGTGCTTCCACGTTTCTAATGGTGGTCTAACTTTGATCGATTCATGATTTCAAATGTTACAAGCCTAATATAGATAGATCAAAACCTATTTGATGTTTTCTAAATCTAGGCTACTTCTGTGATATTAGTCCATGTTTTTTTTCTTGGTATTGTATATTAATTGAATTCCTATTAGAAACACTAAATAATACTAGATCAATATTGCTCTCTGTACGTGTTCTCTTTCTCCTCCTTAATATAAACATCAATGTCTTCATTCTCATATTTCATCTTTATGAAGAGTTAGTTCTTACAATTTTTTTGTCAATTATGATATTGTTAATACAATAAATAATTTGCTCATGATTGTCATCTATCACATGTTGATTTGTTTAAATGTAACAAATTTCACAATATCAAAATTTTATTATATTTACACTGTGTTATCCATGCATCGTCATGCATCGTCTTTTTCATTGTTCCCATATGGAATTTTTTAATTACACTGTAATAGTAGTAAATAGGACTAATAGTAGTAGTGCCAATGAAATTTGCTAATTGCTTGTCATTTAGTTTGTTTTTTTTGAAAATTCTGAAGAGGAGTAATTACTTTTTAATAAATCTCTCTCTCTCCCTCTCTCTCTCTCCGTATATATATATATATATATATATATATGTATATAAAGGTGGGAAAAAGTCATACGGGTTAATGGTTGAATAAATAAAAATACATACACAAGACAATTCTCTGCATATGCAAATTATGCCTTAAAAGTTGTTTTTTTTTGTATTTGTTTTTGTTTTTAAAAGTAAAAAAGAAAAATTGTGAAGCATAAAAATAATGAAGCGAACATATAAAGTTTACTATGTTTGAATTTCACAAATTATGAACAGTTTTTGAAATACATTGGTTTGTATTTATTTGAACTTGTGTGTGTGTTTGTGTGTCTGTGTATTTTCTCTTTTTTTTCAAGTCATAATATTGTGGTATGGTTAAAATTGCCTTTAAATGTACAATAAACACTTGAATTCAGTATACTGTGTTATTACTGTATGATAACTGTGTTTTTTTATATAATTCGACTTGAAATTATGTCAAAAAATATTTTTTTTTTGTGATACATATAATAATGTATATATATATACACATAGGCACTAGCGGACAGACATATGTTGTTGTATTGGATAGATGGCATAAATTTCAATGTCAAATTATGTGTTGTTTATAATTATAACAGAAATTTTCACATCACTTTTTTTTTCGTTGTTGTTTGAAACTATCATATGTGTACATAAAATATAATATGCAATTTATTGTGCCAATATTAATGTGGCGTTTTAAGTATTTTGTTGCTGTTCAATATATAAATATATATGTATATACGTATAGTTTTTGTCAATGTTACCACTATTATTCTCTTTGCTGCCCCACTTTACACAATCAGACTCACTTACACACACACACACATATAATCAACCAAACAAAAATCTTTTGTCTCACTTTCTGTCGCCATTAGATGGCACCCATTTGGTGCCAGGTGTCATTACTTGTGAGGGCAAAAATAGATAGTGAATGGCGCCAAACTATAAAAGCTTTCGGCGCCACTTTATATATACATATATGTATATATACATATATATATGGAGTGTAACTTGGAGCCAGCTTTTACAGTCAGGGCGTCCTGTGTTTATGTATAACTAATCTCCCCACAAATAAGTAAAATATACACTTAATTTTTTTTTAATGTAATTATGCATAAACTTTACTGAGAAACTCTCATAGAATTAGAGACTGAACCATTACAAATATATATATATATATATATATATATATATATATATATATATATATAGAAAGTATATTTATATATGTATATATATTTCTAATGCTTAGATTTTTAAAATCCATCATTTCGTACAATTTACCACAATGACAACGACCATAACAACACAACACCATGACCACAAATGTCATTGAATCATTTATTTGTTATGTAACTATCATTGTATGATTATTACGAGTATGTTAATTAATCTTACATTATTTGTTTTTATATATATACGTATACATATTTATACATACATAATTGCCAACACTGTAATAGTTCGCATTATCGTCATTACTATCGTTTGGAGTCAGTTTTATTGGGTAGAAAAAATTTTTGAAAAAAAAAAACGACTATTTTTAAAAACTGCAAACATTACAGCGCCTGATTAGAATAAAAACAACAACAAAACCGCTGTCAGTGTGTCATTCTATTCTAATTGACTTTACTTACTTCTTACTTGGACCGTTTGGGTTATGGTGTTT